CCTTCTCTTCGCTGTGTACACCTAGAAAGGTTCGCCTGGCAGTCAGTCTTGCTGAATTCAGAGTCTCTCTCTCTTTCATCTGAATGAGCGCGCGGGAATTTTCAAACCGTCTTACTCTAGAGGAGTCCCATGGACGTTCGCCCGACTCAAGCCAGATAGAATAAATGCAATTATGTTAATGGCCTGGGAAACGCATTCGGTTTGCCTGGTCAACAGATCTATTCTGCTCCTACCTTTAGCCACCTGGAGGAAAATAAGCCACACTTTTTGCAGCGCACTGCCTTACTCAGAAGTAAACCGTACTGAACTCAACGGGATTTACTTCTACGCAAAGAGTATCTCCTCAATCTGCACCCCTTCGAATGGTGCTCAATGCCCTTGCGCCTGGGCGCCAAAATAAACATCAAATAAATGTATATATGACTGATGTCGTGCAGGGCTACCGCTTTTAGAGGTCGGAAATGAATACGATGGTCTTGCCAACTTCCCTTCCATTCTCTTGGGTCTCCCAGTGGTCCCCTTCTGAGCACGCGCAGAGTGCCTTATTTATTTATTTCATTTGTATCCCCCTGTTTCTCCAAGGAGCTCAAGGTGGCGCAGATACTTCCCCCCGCTGTTATCCCTCCATCAACACTGTGGGGTAGGTTAGGCGGAGAGTGAGCGACTGGTCCAAGGCCACCCAAGGATCTTCGTGGCCGAGTGGGGGATTTGAACCCAGGACTCCAGGGTCCTAGTCCAGCACCCTAATCATTGCACCACCCTGGCTGCCCAGAATGGTGACCATTCCGCATGGCACCCCTTACTTACACCGCGGAAGCATAATTGGATTCCTGAACCCCCCTCGCTTGAACTCAGTGGGCCTTCTGTGTGTGTAAACACACAAACACTGGGGGGAAAGAGGATTCCCAGGCAGACCTCAGCTACTCTCCAACGTACCCACTTTTCTTTCTAATTGCATCATTTTAAAGGACTTCTTCCCAAGCGTGTAGAATCCCGGATGATCCAAACAACATTCTGACCCGGTGTGGCGAGGGTAGTGTAACGTCTGTACGAGGAATCCCTCTTACACGTGTATCCAGTGCTGGGAACCATAGCGGGACTGCATTGCACGGCTCCTTCTATTTCCGCCCTCCCCACCCCTCCGCACCCCGGTCACGCTCCTCTGGCCCCTCCCGGATGGGCACAATGGCCGTGACGTCAGCCCCCAGTGGCGTCGGCCAGGCTGGCCCAGGAAAGGGGCCTTCGGCAGCCTCCCAATTACAACCGGTCAATCCAGTTACCAAGAGGGGAGGGAGAAGAGGAGAGATCTGCTCGCAATAAACCCCCCACCTTTGCAGCAGCAGGCGCGGTCGCTCCTGGTTTCCTCCGTTGCTGCGGTGGCTAAGAGGTTCTGGGTTCGAATCCACATACCCACTGAAGAGCTACTGAAGAGTAGCAATAATAATAATAATAATAATAATAATAATAATAGTAATAGTAATAATAATAATAATGATGATGATGATGATGATGATGTCCCACCTAACAGGGCTGTTAGTTCATTGCTTTTTCCTGCTACGCCTTTTCTCCAGCGCGCGCAGAATGCGCCGCCCCTGATCCTCAAAACAATCTTGCGAGGTAGGCTAGGCTACGCACTATGCATTTAAAACACATAATCTCCCCCCCCGGAACCCCAGGGAAACTGTAGTTTGCCCTCTCACAGAGCTATAATCCACAGCACCCTTAGCAAACTAGAGTTTCCAGGATTCTTGGAGGGAAGACATATGCTTTAAATGATGCCTTGGTCCCAGGCATCCTAAATCTTATTTGGGAGGGAGAAGGCGGCGAATAACACCACCCCAAAAAAGCCCTCCCCTCCCCAGAAGCTGATATTATGCAGAGCTTGGGACCTTCTTCAAACAAAACTATTCTTTACCTGTTTTATCTAATACAAAACCTAGCCTTCTGAATAAGGACACGGGGGTGAGCCACTTACATTTTGCCTGGAATACTTTTAAAAGTGACCAAAGCTGAACATTTTTAATCGTCTTACCCTTTTAAAAACGATTACAATTAATATTTTAAGTTTCCCAAGAGAGTGTGCGTTGAAAGATCACTTCGTGCGCACCTCCAAATACCACGTGGGAATGAACAAAAAACAGGAAATCAAGCCCTTCGATTAATCGACTTTATATACTCTTCATTTAATCATTTAGTCGGGACAAGATTCCTCTGCGCCTGCAGCTAGGGACTTTTTACTCTTTCTTTTCCCCATTACTCCTGTTTTAAAAAATAATAATAAAAACGCAATTCTAACCACCCTAACTAGGCAGATATGTCCTATTGAATTCAAGTGAATTTACGGTACTCCCCGGGGTTAGAATCGCAGCCTAAATCGCGGGAGAGCACTGGGTCAAATTTTTTTTTTTGAAGGGAAGGTGTCTCCCTTCCTCCAGAAAAAAAAATAATAACCCCATCCACCGACCTTTCTGCGTCAGTTATAGTTAGAGATTCACATGAAATGGTCTGGACAGATTTTTTCCCCACAGTGCAGTTCCGATTCATGCAGGAATCTCGCAACTGTGAATGAGGCAAAAATGTTAAGGCTCTTTTAACTGCCACAAAGAGTTAGCAAAGGAGACACATATATAGAATTGGGCCCTTACTTTCGGAATGGGTAAACAACAACAATAATTCAAGTCGTCTTTAGGCAGGCGGCAAACATGTTTAATGACACTAATCGCAGATTCCTGCTTGCTCTAAAGTTTTTTAAAAATTATATTTTACAGTGGGCATTATTTGTACGTTTTCGGGCTGCGATCTACAAACCATGGGGGGGAAATTCTTCTCAGCTTTACTCTGAGTAGACCCATTGAAATTAATCAACACGCCTAAATTCGGTCCATTAATCTCAAACGGGTCGGCTCTGAGTAAAAGTTAGTTGAATGCCACCCATTGCGATTCTTACTCCGAAGTAAGCCCCACTGTATTCAAGGGGACTCGCTGCTATCAAGGGTGCATAGGATCGTAGCCTCAATCCGGGGTCAATGACTGAGCGTCGGGAAGATTTGGGTCTGCCCTGTCGGCGCCTGAGGATTACTAGTAGGGCGCTCAAAGAAGGGATTCACCCTCCCCTTTTGGTTAGGAAAGTGTTAAATTACGCCCCAAGCAGCTCCTAGACATCTCTGATCATCAAAACAGACTGGAGATGCAAATCTGTCAGTGAAGGCAAAAAGGGAAAATAAATCCTTGAACCCGATCCACAAACCAATTAAGCTGAAACATTAGGACCATCTCCCCGCACACTTAACTTAAAACTGATGTAGTAATAACTTTGGTGGAACTTCCATAGACTTCCAACGGCGTGGAGGCTACCATCTTCTGCGCATTTACGCACAGGCAAAACACATTAAGTTCAAGTGGGGCTTCCCTCTGTGAGTAAGCACGCTTACTCTCGGCCTACATTAACACTCGTGAAACCAAATGCTTTCGCTTAACTGGGTGGTGGATCCTGCGAAGGGATCGCAGTACAGCATTAGGAGATCTCTCTCTCTCAGTGTGTATCTTATCCACACACACATATTTTTTTTACATTAAAAACAACGTCCAGTTCAGGGACAATGACCACAATTAACAGAGCTCTCTCTCTCTATATATATATTTACAAATGCAACTGTTAGCATTTCAGGAACAAAGCCAATACTCGGGTCCCTTGCGCATATTTTAAACACTTGTCTAATTCTTCCCAGCAACAGTTTGACTTCCCCCAATTCAACCCCATTTATTGTATTGCAAGGTATGCGCGAGTGGGAGAAAGGGCGACAAGAGAAGACGGGTGGAGCCGGGGTGGGGGAGCAGCGGGAAGGAAGACGATGCAACTTGTTGCGCTTTCAAAGAGAACAAAACCCCCCCACCACCACCCTTCAAAATAAATGCTCAGGGCGAAAATAGCTCCTCCGGGTTCTTCAGTTTGAATGAACCACTAGGGGATGCAATGACTCAATGGAGAGAACGTTGAGAGAGTGGTTAAAAGTTCGAACGCCAGGCGAGCAGCCAATCGCTGACGGCTTTGGCCAGCAGACGGCTCTTGCTGCTTCGTGATTGGCTCTGAGAGTACCCCTTCCTTTCTCCTCCAGCCCCTTTCATTTTCGCAAGCCAAGTGGCCCGTGGAGGAGCTCAGGGGCCGAAGCCTCGCATACGACTCAGCCCTCGCCTCTTCGGACCGATGCCGGATTATTATGGGGCAGTTAATGGCTTTGAGAACTGAAGTCCACAAGTCAAATCCACTCCTAACTCCCCCACTTTCAGACTTTCTCCCAGTGGCTCCCTTTCACCTGCAAGCAGGAACCCTAAACTCAGCTCCCTCCGGGGATTACATTGATATTTCCTCAGTTCTGTGCTCCTGAAAGAGGCTCGCCCCTTGCCGTTTCATTCTCGGCAGACCGCGAACGGGGGGGGGGGCACGTGTACTCCTTACTTGCTAAAGTCGAATTCGCCATTATTTTAAATATTACCCCTCTCCGTTTGCCAAAGCAGGGCTAGCTTGAGCTGATCAACTCTCACACGCACCCGCTTTGTTTTGCGTGTGAACGGTCCACGAAGTACTCAATTCGCCCCTATTCACTCACTTTCATCTGCTCAGAAATAGAGGCTAACTCGTATCCCAATATAAACAGCCACCCAGTTCAGTGTCCTTACATTATATGGTGCCCAGTCCTTCCTCCGAAAGGATGATCCAATAAAATAAAAACCATTAATAATAATAGAGGGCTGGTTCCTTCCCCCCCCCCCAAATCATCAACTTATAGGAACTCAAACTTGAGATGGTTAAGTCTTTCTCCCTCGCCCTCAAAATGAGTTTATTTCTTTCCGGCTCCGGTACGCGTGGGTGGAGGGGAGGTGTGTTTTCTTTTTTGGGGGGAGGAGGAAGAGGAGGGGAAGGGATCGGCCCTAGTTCGCTTTCTTCCTCCCCCCCCTCCCTGCCCGTCCCCCTGTCCCTCCTCGTTCAGGGACAGACTCCACCCCCTCCCTGCTGATGACACTGGAACCTCCTTAAGTTCTGTCTCGCCGCAGCTGTCTGTGGATACTGAGCCGGCTGGCGCCATCCTGGTTCTTTCAGAAATAATGCCTTCTCTTTAAAAAGAAAAAAAGAAAAAAGAAAAGCAAAAGAGAGAGAGAGAGAGAGAGGGAGGGAGGGAAGGAAGGAAGGAAAGGGGGAGGGCAGGCGGGCAGGCGAGAGGTGGAGTGAAATGAGGAGGACGATTTGAGCCGATCAAGTTTTCCCTGGCTTTTTTCGCACAACTTTTCCGCGGGTGCTTCTGTATTCGTTTTTCCCCCTTCCTTTCTTGTCTTCCTTCCTTCCTTCCTTTTCGGGCTCCTCGCACCCCGTGGTTTCTCCTCCCTTTCTCGTTTCTTCAGCATGCTCTTAGAAATAGCATTTTAAAACGTCCGCCAAGTTTTTTTCTTTTTTTGGGGGGGGGGCAACGCTTGCTGGTTTTTGAAAGGGGGAGGAGGAGGAAGAGGAGGAGAGATGCTCCCCGCCGCAAAAAGCAGCCCCCGCCGACCAACGCACTCCAAAACAACCTAAAAAAAAAGGGGGGGGGAAGGAAGGCGAGAAGAGGGGAAAAGTAATCTCTTCAAAAAACCAGAAAATCAATACAAGAATAAAACAAAAGCGAACTTCTCACCGCCGCTTCTGCAGGTGAAATTGGCCAGACAGGAGACTTTGCGGGAATCGGTGTATTTCTTTTTTTTAAACCTAAGAGAGGGAGAGAGGCGAGAGGGTAGGACAGCGCGGCAGCGCAGGCTGAGCGCTCAGGGATCCCTGCGGCCAATTTCCCCGCGAGGCTGCGGAGATCGAAAGAGAAAGAAGCGAGATGGTGCCTTCGCTGGGCGGATAGGTGAGTCGCGAAGACTTGTTTGAAAAGGCGGGAGGGGGGGGAGATAAGAGAGGCACAGGAGGTGGACTTTTGCAGAGATCTCTTTGGCGCTTGGGGAGGGGGGGGGCGTATTTTCTGTGCGCGTAAATGAAAAAATTAATCCAGTGTTTTAAAAGTTTTTTAAACCAAGTTTTTTCTCTCTCCCCTCTCCTCCTTTCTCTCTTTCTCTCTCTCCTTTTGTCTCTCCCCCCCCCTTCCATTACAGGTGATCGACCCAAGGCCGGCAAGCTCTCTCCGAGAAAAGGAAAACTCCTCTTGCCTCTCGTTGCTTTGCAGGCTCTCCCGGCCCCCCCTCTCTCTCCAACCACCCCCACCCATTTTGGGGGAGATGGTTATTTAAGCAACATCTTTCCCCTGTACCTAGACACTCTCCAAATCTCTCCCTCTCTCCAGTCCTTCGGGAGACTCACTTTGGCGAACTTTTTTTTGTGTGTGTGTTTAATTAATTCAGGTGTTGGCATTTGTAAAAAGTGATTTCCCCACCTCGTTGTCTCTCCCACCCCCCGCTCCATTAAAAGAAAAAATATTTTTATTTTTTTTGCACTGGTGTGTGTGTGAGAGAGAGAGAGGGGAAGAGAGAGAGAGGCCAGAAAAAACCTTCGTTGCAACCGACCAACTCAAACCCAGCCGCCACTGATCGTGAGAACAGGATGGAAGTAAGCACGGATCAGCCCCGGTGGGTAAGCCACCACCACCCGGCCGTCCTCAACGGGCAGCACCCGGACTCCCACCACCCCGGACTGGGCCATTCCTACATGGATCCCACGCAGTATCCTCTGGCGGAGGAAGTGGATGTACTTTTTAACATCGACGGGCAAGGCAACCACGTCTCTCCGTATTACAGCAACTCGGTTCGGGCGACGGTGCAGCGCTACCCCCCGGCCCATCACGGTAAGTGCCAGGATCCTAGCAGATCCCGGGGAGGGCGACCGACCCGTTCTCCCCTCCTCTCGCTTGCTTGCTTTCTCTCTCTCTCTCTGCCTTCCCTCCAACAACTGCTACATTTTGACAGCCAGCGATGAGCCCCGGAAACTAGACAGAGAAAGCAGGCGCTCTCTCTCTGTGCTCTTTCTGCATGCTTGGTCTTCTAAACTGCTGATTTAATGCAAGCCCAAAAGCCATTAGCAACTGACAAGAGAGAGGATCGTTTCTGGGAAATACCAGGTCTGTGTCTCTCGCTCAGGCTCGGCCTTGTCCTGGTGGAAGAGGATGAGCTCTGGGCCTCTTTGCAAACCAGCCACGCTCACCGCGTGGAAAGTGCTCCTTGCTGCCCCGATCCTGTAGCATGCTTTTAAAAATATTACTCGGGAAGCAAAACTCTCTCCCCCCCCCTTTTTTTTGGTTCAACGGGATTTTCTTCCCCAATACGCGCGCACTGGGTTACAGGCTGCGGTCGCGCCAGCTTCCCTTGGGATTTCCTTCCTCCCGTGTAAACGTGTCCTAAGATGTGCTGAATCCCCATTATTTGAGGAGAAACGTCCTAATGGCCTCCGCGGAACCGGCTTGCACACGCAAATCCGATTTGAACTGCAACCCGGTTGCAGCCACGACTAACCTGGGAGCAAGCCCCACTAAAACTCAGCGGCGCTTCCTTCCGAGTAGACATGGCTCGCTTTGCAGCGTCAGGCTGAATGCCGATGCTTGCTTGGGCGGCGGGGACTGAGGCCCACGAAACTGAGCGCGAGGCTTACTTGCGAGTAAATGTTGGCCTAGGGACAGGTTGTAACGTTTGTGGGTTAAAAGCAGCTTGGGAACTGGGTGGTGGATGGGGCCCATTTGGGCAAAAAGCAGGGTCTATCTAGTAGCCACACACTGAAGCATTTTGAAATCCTCATGCATTTCCGCAGGATTCCCACGCTTTTAAGAGGCGCTAGTCCCCCTGCTCTTTTACCTAAGAGTAAATCCACTGTACACTTGTTTCCGAGTAAACGTGTCCCTTCTGCTGGGAGGTGGGGTGTGTGTGCATATCTTTGCTCTTAGAAAATATTTGACTAGCTTTTAGATCCTGCCGCTATTTTAATCCCTCGCCTTCATTATTACATCCGGAACCACGATCCGGAGCAGACAGGCTTTAGTGTAAACAAACAAACAAACAAACAAACAAACAAACAAACAAACAAACAAAAACAGCCCATCAACTACGTTTACTCGGACGTAAAGTGAGCTGAAGCCGACCTCACTGAGGACTTAAGACCGCATGCAGATAGTTTCAGAAGTTTGTCCTTAACAGAAATTGTGGCTAGTTAGGAACCCACACGGCTCCCCCACTCAGCCCCCCCCCTGGTCACTTTGAAAGCCCTCGCGCGTGTTTTTTAAATTATCCCTTGGCTGTCATTTCTAGTTTTTAATATTACTTGTAATGATGCCGCTGCAAAAGACAACAGGCTCCTTTTGACAGTGATTATGAAAGCACTTGGAAAAAAGAGAGAGAAGGGGAAAAAAAACCTTCCCAGTTGGGCGATGAAAAGACAAACTTGAACCGTTCTAAACTAGAACTCTGGGAGGAAAAAAAAAGAGAGAGAGATGTAATGACTTAGCCTCCGGGCTGAGATGTTAGAATTAAAAGCTGTCAGGGAAAATAAGTGATATGATTGTCTCCCTGGGACTTCGTCCCATTAGTATGTATGAATCTGTACTGAATATTCACAGAAGCAATACAATAGCACCTTGTCAGGACCTTCCAAGTCTGACAATGTGGCCTGCCAGTTTTCGGAGTGACACAGAACGCTTCAAGCGGGATGGCAACAAAGCACAGGCAGTCAAAAGTTTCTTAAGATTTTTTTTAAAAATACACATAGAAATATAAATATATTAAAGTAGTGAGAAGCAGTGCAAGAACCTGTGCCTGTCTACTTAGAAGTAAGGCCTACTGAGTTTGATGGCGCTTACTTCCAAGTCAACACTGCAGTCGGAGCCTCTTATCTATTTCCCCAGGAGCAGGTCCCTTTAATTTCTCAGGGATTGCAGCCTTTAACCGTGTGCTTAACAATCTGCTCCAAGCCAACTAAAAGTATTTAACTTTGGGCTGGGTCGTGCTCATTCCTGTTTGATTTTAGCATTCACCCTGAGGTGTTCTGCGTGGCTCCCAAACTCACCCACTTAGTTCGGTCTTTCCAAAAGGCTTAATTTACTCTCTCTGTGTGAAATTTTATTCTAGAATGAATTTTTAAAAGGGTGAAGAAATAAGAATGTAGTAGGCAGGAATGTATCTATGCAGTTAAGGAGAGCTCGATAAATTGGTGGTTGGGAAAGAATAATATTTGTGAATATATATCTCAGAGATATATTCATCCCCCCCCCCCAAAAAAAATAAACCCCAAACTTTTCCAGCTGCAGATTTAGCTCTGGCTTTTCAAGCCCTTCTCTGGTTTCCCTCCCCCAAAAATTGGGAAATTAAGTTGGGGTGGTGGAAGAGAACTGAATTTCCCCAAATCTTTGAAAGAGCAAAAAAGGGCCTCCTCCGCCTCCGGGGAACTGAATGAGCAATATTAATCCCTGATTAGTAATTGCCTTGCCCCGCTGTTAGTCTTTACAAGACATTTCAAAATATCGTTAACCCTTCCCCTCCGAGTTGCAAAACAATCGCTTTGATCTAACGTGAATTTGAGCGACTCTGACGCCGCTTGCCCAAGAGCGTTTTCACACCTGAGGACTAAACTGGGTTAGAAGGAAAATCTCTCCCCATACCCTCAAAAGAGTCTTCATTGTTCCAAAATACCCAGGCGATTTAAAAATGGGTCCCTTTTCAAACACACCCTCGCCCCTACCGTCCACAATACGCACACTCGGCAGTATAGCTTGCGAGGGCTATTTCGTTTTTCTTGTGAAAGTTGCCTAGTTTATCTCTCCTTGGGCAAAGAGATCCAAGCCTCCCACCCCCGCAAACTCAGAGCCAAAGAATTTAGGGCTTTTGCTTGTTGCTGCTTCACCCTTGATTTAATTGGGACTGACTTCCCAAACGAACCTGGGAAGATCGTAGTTCTGGCTGCGTAGCAGGCAGGGGGACGCCACTGGGTTTAAAAACAAAGATCCTAGCTTAACTTGGGTGGCTGGAGAGTGCTTGCTCCAGAACTCTGATTTCTTCATCCCAAAGTCTGGTTACAAAGGAAGAGTTTAGGTCGTTGTGCTTGCAAAATCTGCAACTATCTATCCGCTCGGAATCGTCTCTGTATGTTTGAAGTCTCCGAATAATTCACGAGAAAGCTGGCTTGAAAAGTTGCAGATTCCCCCTCCGTTTACCCATTAGAGTAGACTGCTCAACCCCCCCAGTCAGTTGCAACTTGGTCAATTAAAATGAAAGGTAAGGTGTTTTTAGATCCTTAACCTGAACTCATTTTTTAAAAGAAGGAATGAATGCCTTCCTGATTTTTCCTCTCTGTGGAAAATGTCCTGGTTACATTTACTTGCAAGGAAGTCCCATGGATTTAAGAGGCACCTTAGCATGTGGTTGGGATTGGGGAGAGACCCTGTTAAAATCCTAACTTGGGAAACTGTAGAAGTCATTGATTTGAATGGGACCTTCTTGCTTCAGAATACATATAATAAGGATGTCCTCTTTCTCTCTGTGTGAATGCTTTAAGCTTGAGCATGTACATGTTTACTCAGATGTAAGTCCCCTTGAGTTGAACAGGACTCCTTTCAAAGGAAGTGTAAAAAGGAGAACCGCCTCAATTTGGATCATTGGATAGTTTTCTGGTTCAAAAACCAACACAGGCAGACTCAGGAAACTTTTAACTGCTACCATGAGAAATTCTTGTGGAAAAAGTAAAATTTGGAGCTGTCTGACTGACAGAGGTTTCTTTTTTTGGTGGGGGGGGTGTGAAGAAGAAAGGAAAAGGAAAAACTTGCTCAAATAATTCTGCATAATAATAATATAATTTTAAAAAAAGACATTTTCAGTCAATTTTTGGCATGTGTCGCTGAACGACATACTGGAAAACTGCCTTTCTTGCTTCAACTGTAAACCTATTAAATTGGAATTAATACTTCCAAGTACTTGGATTTAGCATGGTAATTTGTGTGTGGGAGGGGGACTGCCACCCAGTCAGCCACAGGTTGACTTAAAATGTTTCTCATTGGTTTCAACAAGATGCTAGTTGCAATCTGAAAGCTGTAATGTCATATGTGTCTACTTGGGAGTAATCCCCTTTGAGCACAAGGAGGCGACTGTGGAAACACAGGTATTTTGTATTTGCAGTTGTACACCAGGCCAGGTTTGCTGGTACCCATGCATGTTTATCTGGGAGTAATTTGGTGGGACTTACTTCTGAGTGAATATGCAGCATTTTGGACTGCATAGGGCTTTCTTGGAAAGGAGGCTGCAAGGTCCGAAACAGGATATTTTAATAATAACCAAGAATTTTAAAAGCCCATTTAAAAAGATGTGCAGCGTTTGCTCTCTGAAGATTGCTCCACTTTTACTCCCAAGTATGGCACAGGTTTGAAACTTGATTTCCGTGAGGTGCAGGCATGATCCTAAACACGTTTCCTCAAAAGTAAACCCCCCTGAAGTCCATGTGGCTTGGTCCCAAGTAAAGTGTGATAGGACGGGTGCCTTATCCAGCATTTACTTAGCAGGAACTAAGACTGATTGAGCGGAGGTGTCTTACATCTGAGTAGATCTGCTTAGGATCAGGTTGTTGAAGTCCCAACTCCAGTGCACTGGGCTGATTTTTCTAGCGAACATGATTTAAGTGCCCTGGGCTCCTTTTGGGGGAGAAGTGCAGGATATAAATTTAATGATTATAATCATATATATATAATAAATCTATGGGCAGGCAAAATCAGCGCTTCAAGAGGTAGGGAGCTGAAAGAAGTCTGGCTTAAATCTATCCTTCTGGCCTAACTGGGTGATTATTCCTCCTGCCCAGTGCTGTTGCAAAGTTCCCCCTGCTATCTTGCAAAAGGTGGGAGTCCTCGTTAAGGGTTTTTGTCAATTTCACGTGGCCTCCTGGTTCAAGAAGCCGTGCAGGATTGATTGGGGAAGGCCCATTAGCAGGGATTGATTTGTCCAAGGGGGGTGAGTGGGGAACATTGCGAAGAGAGAGAAGGAGATCTGAATGGGATCATTCACCAACAAGGAACGGTTGTTCTCAGTTACACTTTACCTTAGAGTCTGTGTGAGAGTGTAAACACCGAATTGGAGCCTGTGCGTGTGTTCACAGGCAACTTAGCTCCTGGTACATTTTATCCACGTTCGCGACATTCTTCTAGAGAAGCGTGCGTAAGACCATTGTCTTCTCACCTTCTTAAGAAGCACACAAACACGCAGGTAAACGGAAGGGCCCCTTCACATGGTACAAACTCTGCTATCTTACCTACTCCTGTGGTCCTGGGCTTTTTGACCCAGCAGGGTTGCCAACTGATCAGAAAGGAAGTGAGCTGGCTTCCTCTTCTGCCTCGAGCAGAAGGCAGCCTGACACAGTAGGGAGATACGGCAGCATTCTCACCTGTCAATGCCTGTGGAACAAAAGCCTGCTGTTAAAGGCAAAGCTACAGCGTCCAGTCGAAAAGTTGGCCGCATTACTGAGGAGGGCATCTTTAAGGTCCTTTTCTTACACTGCTACATTTTAGGCATACACTTAAAAAATGTCAGGTGTGAATAAATCATTAAACACCATTGAAGCTTCCACTGAACTAAACCCCAGAATTTTAAGGGGTTGGACTAGATGACCCGAGAGTCCCTTCCAACTCTACAATTTTATGATTCTGTTATCAACTTGTATTTAAGATACAGAGGTGAATGTGTTGTGTGTTCATGCCTAGCCTAAGCATTTTTTACTTGGAAGTATTTGAAGCTCCATGGTAATCTGTGTAATGTACTTGCCTGTCAATCTTTAGCCTTAGGATTTAAGTGGGGTTTAGGGTCAGAAACCTACACTCCCCCCCCCAAGCCTGAAGATGTAGATGTTAGTCCCATTTATTCCAAAAAGTTGTACTTTAAACTCTTGAATTTGAGATCTGAGTGTTGGAGAGTTTTGTCTTTGGGCCTGACCTAACCCAACACACACATTTCCAAGAATTACTGTACCACTTTGTTGAATTTAATTTCAATTTACATGCCATCATAAAATCAGGAATGGATGATAAATCCACCAGTTTGAAATGAGCCTGTCTTCTACGTATATGTCTGTTTCCTTTCCAAATAACAACCTCATCTTGAAACATATTTACTCTAACACACCTGCCTCTATTCTGTTTGTTGACTACAACTGAGAATTCGCTTCCAAGTAAGTAGATTAATTTTTAAAACATGGAGAGGGGGAGGAAAACCTCAGACTGCTTTTTTAAAAAATAAAATAAAATCAAGTATTAGGTTTATGTAAATTTCCCACTGTATTTTTAATAATACCAACAAAATATTCTTAAGGCAAAAGATCTATTAGATTGTTGTTGGAATATGCTTTGCAACTTGAATGCATCAATTTTATGTAGCAATTCAAACTTTTGCCTCTTGTTTTCTCCCTTCTCTGCTGCTGTCTTTCGCTTCAATACTGGGGTAACACTCCCTCTGGGATTATGTCGTGTGTGAACCTATTTATGAGAACTGAGGATGTTCAGGCCTGGGGAGGGAGGGCAAATGTAGCTCTTTAGACCTCTCTAAACCTCTCTTGAGCTCTCCCTAGTACATATCCCGCACTGGTCCATACCAGCACCACATCTGACTCCCCATAAATGCTTTCGACTGCATGTGATGTGGCTTTGAACTCTTGAGAATGCCCTTTTGTGCCTGGATGGAGAGATGTGTCTGTGTCTCAAAACCTCTGGCTTTTGCATGGCCTGTTGGACAAAGGCTCTATCCTCTGTAGCCTCGTCCACCACTGTCACGCGGCCCTTAGAAGCTTGTATTAAGAGGGAATATGGCCCTTCAGTGAAAAAATGTTCCCCTCTACCACTAAACACTGAGAGATATTATTTAGCGTTTGGAGTAATGATCCCCACAGTGATGTGGGGAAAGGTAGAGGAGCGTCTATGGAAATCCACTAGTCCCACCGCCTAATTTTAGCAACATTATAGCCTTCTAAAAATAACAGCTGAAGGGGTTGAGTGCGAACACAGCACAGGACCCAAATGGGTTCTACTCAGAGAAGACCCACTCAGATTAATAGACCTACGTTAGTCATGTTCATTGATGTTGATGGGCCTATTCTGAGCATGAGTCATGTTGGAGACAAGACACAATCCCCCATCACATTTGCTCCAAAGTAGTCTATCGGAGACCGCCCTGGAGAGAGGCGGCAATTTGAGTCACGCTTAATTTGTTAAACTTGTTGGAACTTACTTCTGATTAGCCCTTTACTGAATTGCAGTGTCAGTTGGGTCGGTACCATCGCCATTTCTCTCCATTTCTGATCTCAGACTTCTATCCTGAGCAGGGCTAGACCAGCTATAGAGGCAAAAGAGACATTTGCCCAAGATAGGACAGTAGAATTTCCACGGCTCCTGCAAAGTAAATGCCACCTCCTCTGATTTGGCAGGACGCAGAGGCTTTCAAGAGCTTGGGTGTGATTAGACTTGCGCTCAAAGCGTTGGCATTTGGGTGTGAGAAGGTGGGTGGCAACGCTTCTGTTTTGCACATGGTAGCCAACGCTTCCTCCCTGCAAACCTCAAATCTCGAATCGATCGAGGGATTTCCGTTTTGGGTTGCCAGCAGATCCGTACTAAAGACATTCCTCGACTGGAGCCCTGGGAGAGCACCCCTTTTGCATGCAGAAGGTCCCAGATTCAGCTCCTAGCATTGGCAGCCAGTCCTGAGAATATCCATGGTCTGAAAGCCTGGAGAGCTGCTGCCTATGGAAAATACTGAGCTAACAATAACAATAACAATTATTTATTATTTGTACCCAACCCATCTGGCTGGGTTTCCTCAGCCACTCTGGGTGGCTTCCAACAAAGACCAAAAATACACTAAAATGTCACACATTAAAAACTTCCCTGAACAGGGCTGCCTTCATATGTCTTCTGAATGTCAGGTAGTTGTTTATCTCTTTGACATCTGATGGGAGGGCGTTCCACAGGGTGGGCGCCACTGCCAAGAAGGCCCTCTGCCTGGTTCCCTGTAACTTTGCTTCTCGCAATGAGGGAACCACCAGAAGGCCCTCACCGCTGGACCTCAGCATCCGGGCAGAATGATGGGGTGGAGACGCTCCTTCAGGTATACTGGGCCGAGGCCGTTTAGGGCTTTAAAGGTCAGCACCAACACTTTGAATTGTGCTCGGAAACGTACTGGGAGCCGAACTAGGTCTTTCAAGACAGGTGTTATGTGGTCTTGGCAGCCGCCCCCAGTCACCAGTCTAGCTGCTGCATTCTGGATTAGTTGTAGTTTCCGGGTCACCTTCAAAGGTAGCCCCACGTAGAGCGTAGTGCAGTAGTCCAAGCGGGAGATAACCAGAGCATGCATCACTCTGGCGAGACAGTCTGTGGGCAGGTAGGGTCTCAGCCTGCGTGCCAGGTGGAGCTGGTAGACATCTGCCCTGGATACAGAATTGACTTGTGCCTCCATGGACAGCTATGAGTCCAAAATGACTCCCAGCTAAATGGACCATTGGCCCGAATCTGTTCCAACTGAGCCCATCTGACCTACGGGTCCCTAAGCTGTCCCACCACCCTACTTCCTTTGGGGAGACGTTGGCTAATGGGGATCTGCTTTTGTCTTTCTGTCCTAGCAGGTGGTCAGGTGTGCCGTCCGCCATTGCTGCATGGTTCTCTCCCTTGGCTGGATGGGAGCAAGGCTTTGGGAAGCCACCACAGCACCGCCCCATGGAACCTCAGCCCCTTCTCCAAGACCCCCATCCACCACAGCTCGCCTGGACCTCTCTCCGTCTACCCTCCGGCGTCCTCCTCCACTTTGTCTGCGGGCCACTCCAGCCCACACCTCTTCACCTTCCCGCCGACCCCTCCCAAAGATGTCTCCCCGGACCCCTCCATCTCCACCCCAGGCTCCACTGGGTCCAGCCGGCAAGAGGAAAAAGAGTGCATTAAGTACCAGGTGTCTCTGGCTGAAACCATGAAGCTGGAGTCTTCTCATTCCCGAAGCAGCATGGCCTCATTAGGAGGGGCCTCTTCCTCAGCTCATCACCCCATCTCCACTTACCCTTCCTACGTCCCTGAATACGGCTCTGGACTTTTCCCTCCCAGCAGCCTGCTGGGGGGATCGCCGACCGGTTTCGGGTGCAAATCCAGACCAAAAGCACGTTCCAGCACAGGTAGGGTCCTTGACGGATTCTTAAAATGCTTCTGTTTCAGGTTCAGGAAAGACTTTTTTTTATTAAAAAATGAGCAAAGGTTAAGGGCTGGGAGGAGTAATAATATGGAGAAAGTATGGGTTTTCAGCTGCAAATTCAGACCAAAGAGTTTCCAGTGCAGGCAAGGTGCTAAATGGATGACCAGTTAGAAGCCAACTCTTGTTTTATTTTTAAAAAGAAGCCGAGGATCGGTACAAGCAGAAAGCAAACTCTGGCAATGCAAAGGTCAACAAAGGGATCAAACAGATACCACAGAACCTTTCTTCCTAAAACACTGTTGCATTCCACAACAGTTGCAATATTTTGCTCTTCCTTTAGAAAGATCAGAACAAGCTAAGGTGGGTTTCCTGCTGGTCTCCCAGTCAGGGCTTGACCAAAGGTGGGGTGGGTTAGCTTTAACAATGTGACAAGAGCCCCAGGTTCTCCCAGGCTATTCCCTATTCACTCTGTCCATTTGCACATGAGAAACTCAATTGATTTTTAATGGGGATCATCTACCAGAAGAGGGAATCTTGAACGTGTTTCCAGAAAACTCAGTAGGCCTACTAATTTTTGATATTTGCAGGGTTTATGCACTTTCTCTGTTTTATACACTGAGATATTTGATTTTATATCAGTTCCTCTGGCATTTAGAGACACAAATCTCTTTGGCAAGGGATCCCAATTTCACCGTTTGCAAAATGGTTAAACCAAACAATGCTGGTTTAACTACATTATGTCAATTTCGACTTCCTTTTCTTCCTCCAATTATTATTTTTTCTGAATATAAAGTGGATTAGATTCTCTCCCCCTCCCACAGCAAAGGGCCATTAACACTTACTGAAAAGTAGGTCCTTCACCAAAAGATCTCAGGGCGGTTCACAAGATAAAAACATGAGATAAAAGCACAAATAAACCATGCGTTCTCCCCACAAACAAACCATGGCTTGCTTCTTCAAAGTTTGTTTTGTTTTCCAGCTGCTGCTGCTGCCTCATGCCTTTGCAGTGTGGTGAGAGTGGGGGAGATAAAACAAACCGAAGTTAAGGAAGGCTAGTGGTTTTACACGGAATCCACCATGGTTCAAAAGCCGACAACAAACCATGGCCTCAGATTGTGGTTTCTTACCAGTAAACAAACCATGGTTACGCTGCTGAGCAGGGTTCACGTGTAACGCTAAGACATGGTTTAATAAACCGTAAATTAACAAACTCCCATTTAGCATATGTGTAAACCAGGCAATTCGCTTTCCCTCTGCTGTTTTTTTCCTTGGATCAAGGTCTCTTTTCTTTGTAAGCAGAAACGCAAAACCAGAATGCACGATTCATTCATTCCTCTTGCTCCTGTGTAAACCTCATTCCTAACCTGCTTGCTAAACTTAGAAACTCATTTTAATTCACTTGAAGCTACCTGCTGCTAATTTGAACATTTCTGGAAAGCTGGTTTTTACATGCACAGAGAGAGAATGTGTGTGTGTGTGTGGTGTTGTTGGGGGACCACAAAAACCTAATGTGTTCCGGAAATGTTATTTATTGGTTCAGTGACTTCCTTATGCAGAGAAAAAAACTGGATAGGACTGTGTTCACTTTCCCCACTCTAAAGTCTCTCTCTGCACTTCCCCCAATTCTTTTCCCAGATCCCAGGAGTTGAGTTTATTTTAAGTTGGTTTCTTTTTTTCCTTTCTGTTGGGGGTGGGAGGGGGAGAAGGGGAACTACCTAAGAAAAGAGGGAAGTTTTGTTTAGACTGCCTGATCTGGGTCTGTCTCCGAAATATTTCATAATCCATAGGCTATATAGTGAAAGAAAGCAAATTCGCCCACGGAGGCAGTAGTGCTCAGCACAATTTCTAGAAAGTGTATTTTAGCAGGCCTTTGGGACTTGCTTGCGAGTAAATGGCCATGATCCACAGCAGAATTATATGCAGGTTTTTTTGGTGCAGTCCTGAGCATCCTTGTTCAGGAGTCAGTTACTCTTTAATAAGTGTGAGTGGGACCTCAGCTTCAAGTCTGTTGATTTTTGTGTGGACATCCTTACGTTGTGCTGTGTTCAGAATCCAGGCCTGCCAACTTTTTAACCACCCTCTGCCATTGTGGTTTCAACAAGAAGCTTGGATCTGCAGCTACTAGCTGATCACCATGTTTATCTCCCTGCTGTGAAAAGCTAGACCAGTAGATCAAGCGGCTGTTAAGTGCAGAAGAGCAGGGCATTTGGCAACCCTAAGTTCTGTTTTGTGATTCCTCCCCTGCCCTCCATCTTTGAACTAAAATCTTGGAAATATGCACTGAAATCAGTGGGGCTGGTCTCGGAATGAATGCCTTTAGGTTCCAGGCAGTTTGCATATTAAACAAAGATCAAAATAAGTCGTTCCCTCACCTTTCCCCTATTCCTCCCCCCATGTTCTTCCTTTCCTCATTGAGACTCCTGCAAGTAGATGTTGTCCAGTGTGAGTCAGATCAGTTTTCAGGGTTTTTCCAGGGTGACATTTACTCTGACTGTCTGAGCAGGGACTGTCTCTATTTAGCTGATATGTTTTAGCTAATCCAATTATTTTCAGACGGCTGCACGCGACAGTTACATTGTTTATCCAGCGCCAGGAACTTTAATAGAGTCCGGATGCGGTTAACAGTGACAAAAAGAAAGAAAGAAGTAAATGCAGAACTGCCTCTTTCTGTATATGCAAGCAGACTGGGTGTGTGTGTTTGTATGAGAGAGAGAGAGAAAGAAGAAAGAAAGAAAGAAAGAAAGAAAGAAAGAAAGAAAGAAAGAAAGAAAGAAAGCAGAAGAGAATGAAAACTCAGATCTCCTGCCTTTCCTACTTCTAACAGCAGACCTCTGCACCTTTAACCACTGCCATGTCAGGCAGAAAAGGGAGAGAAGAGGCTATCTCCACTGCTACTACAATCACGGCCAGCATGGGTAGACTCACAGAACTGTAGAGTTGGAAGGGACCTTCAGGATCATCTAGTCTAACCCCCTGCAATGCAGGAGTCTTTTGCCCGACGTGGGGCTCAAACCCAGAACCCTGAGATTAAGAGTCGCATGCTCTACCAACTGAGCTATCCATGTCATCGTGGTCCAGGGGAGGGCCATAGAGCACCTGCTTTGCTTGCAGAAGGCTCCAGGTTCAATCCCTGGCAGGTAGGGCGGGGAGCATCCTGCCTCCTTGAAATCCCTGGAGAGCTGATCAGTGTAGAAGCCATTGTGCTGGATGAGCTGACGGTCTGATCCAGTATAAGACAGCTGCCTTTCTAGGGTTATTATGGGTAAGGGCCATAGTTCAGGGGTAGAGCATGCCGAAGGTCCCAGGTAAGGCTTGAGAGCCACTGCCATTCAGTGCAGATAATATTGAGGCAGCTTCTTATGCTCCTGTGTCCCATGGATGATGTTTCCAGGGCTTACTGAGCTGAAATCTTGGGTGTAATTTCTAACCCACCCTCTTCTAGTCCTTAGGAGACCAGTGAGAAGGTGGGCGAAGGACCACAGGAATTAGAACGGTCTGGTCTCCCTGTTGTGTTGTACTGAGTGTGCAGGGAAGGTGCAGACTGCATGTGATGGGTTGAGATGGCTCCCTTTTTTATCTTATTTTTTTTGCCCAGGGACCCACGCAGACACGGAGTGGCCTTGGCTGTGAGTCTCCAGAGCTGAACGCACTTGGGAAGTAGTACTATGGGAACCAGTGGGATTTTTTGCCAAGTGGAAGGGTTTAAGATCAGGGTGCTTTGGAGGCTGCAAATGAGGTGTGTGTGTTGGCTTCCCATTGGCTATTGTTGTAGACTACCCAGGTCTTTTGCTTGCTCCACTGGGTCTTCTTAGGTCCTTGGTGATGGACAAGACAGATAGTCTTCTTCTTCTTCTTCTTCTTCTTCTTCTTCTTCTTCTTCTTCTTCTTCTTCGTCTTCGTCTTCTTCTTCTTCTTCGTCTTCCTCTCTCTGCCTAGGGAAGGCCTGTAACTCCATGGCAGAGCATCCAGGTTGCATGTGAAGGGTCCCAGGTTCGAATTCTTAGCAGCATCTCCAGGTAGGGCTAGGAATGTCCCCTATCCAAGACTCCACCAAGCCACTGCCACTCAGTGTGGACCATACTGTGCTAGATGGACTCAAGGCGACTTCCTCTGTTTCCGTGCAGAAGGCTGTTAAGATATATGGAACTGCCTTATTATTCCGTATTATATCACTGGTCCATCTAGCCACCAAATTGCCCACTGAGCAGGCTGAAGTTAGGTTTAGATCTGCAGAGCCAGCTCCGAGTTTGAGTGGGGGCTCATCCTATATCGGTGGGCTTGCTTCAGTCTGGTGGCGGCGGCAGCAACAAACAGCTCTGTCTGGGAGCCACGGCTGAAGTTTCCCACAATGCCTCTGATGTAGCAATAGCTTCTTCTTTTTTGATGATGTTAGGAAAGGGTCTTAGTAGCAGAGCGGTTACCTTGCACGAAGGAGGTTCAGTCCTAGGCATCTCCAGGTAGGGCTTGGAGGGACAATTGTCTGAAATCCTGGAGAGATAGTCAGTGCTAGTCAGTGTGGAAAATAAAATAATAGAACTGTAGAGTTGGAAGGGTCCATGAGGACCATCTAGTCCAACCCCCTGCAATGCAGGAATCTTTTTGCCCAATGTGAGACTCGAACCCACAACCCTGAGATTAAAAATTTCATGCTCTACCGACTGAGCTATCCCAGGAAGAGGGCAAGTACTGACCTAGATGAACCAATGGTCTGACTCTGTACAGGGCACCTTCCTGTGTCCCTATGTTCTTTCCATCTGTGTCTGAAAAAGCAGGTAGAAATGGCAAGGAGGAACAAAAGTAGGGTGAGGAGGTCAATATTAGATCCCCCCCCACCTGTGCAAAGGGCCTTGGCAGATACCTGCATGAAAGGACTGTGAGCTCAGTCTGGGGATTGCAAACAGATTCCCAAGCTCAGAATTCCTTAAATTTAAGTGTGTGTCTTTGCACCTGCCTCTGATTCATGGGCCTTGGCACTCTAGCGTA